AATCCACCTGCCTTTTTGACCCAGCAATTCCACTGCTAGAATTATATCCTAAGAATCCTAAAACATCAATATCAAAGAACCTATGCACCACAATGTTCATAGCAGCACAATTTACAATAGCCAAGAGCTGGAAGCAACCTAGGTGCCCATCAGTAAATGAATGGATCCAAAAATTGTGGTACATATACACAATGGAATTCTATGCAGCAGAGAGAAAGAAGGAGCTACTACCCTTTGCAACAACATGGATGGAACTAGAAAGCATTATGCTGAGTGAAATAGGCCAGGTGTTGAAAGACAAATACCATATGATCTCACCTTTGACAGGAAGCTAAACAACAAAACAAACAAGCAAACAGAATAAAAACAAAGACACTGAAATAGAGAACAAGTGGGCAGTGACCAGAGGGGAGAGGGAAGGGAATTTAAGGGGGAAAAATGGGAGGAATTTTGAGAAACAAGTATGAAAGACACAGGGATGAGGACTAGGGGGGGAGGAAATTGGAGGGAGGTGGGGAACATGGGGCAGGGGGGCTGGGATGGAAGAAATAGACAGAAAACTTTACTTGAAAAATAACTAAATAAAATTTAAAAAAATTAACCAGATTGTCAATTGATAAAACTGGTTGGGGTGGGGGGAATGGTGGGGGGAAAATGCAGACAACTATAATTGAACAATAAAATAATTACATTAAAAAAACAAAAAAAAACTGAATTCAAGTTTAAAAAAACTGCAATACAGATAGCATGTCAGATAAAATATTGTATCAATGTTAAATTTCTTTAAGTTGATAACTGAACTGTGGTCACGAAAGAATTTGTCATTTTTCTTGAGAAACACTGAAATATTTTATTAGTAAACACACATGATATATGCAGCTTACTTTCAAATTATTCTGGAGAAAAATTTACATATGTAGAGAGAACAAATGGAACACAATCTTGACAATAGGTGAATTCAAGTAAAGGGTATACACGGTGTTTGTACAAATCCTAATTTTTCTGTAAATTTGAAATTATTTCTATTTTAAACATCAACAATTATATTTCTGTGTTTAAAACTTATTTAAACAAAACAAAAATACCCTTATTTAAACCAGAAAACTACCATACAAATTTTAATCTCTGTTAGAGACAGAAACTGAAAGGAATATCTATGAAGTTTTTCTCATGAGATTTTTTAAGTGATATAAATTACCCAAGTAATAATAAAATAACTCAAGATCAATTATATACAACACTTTTACCACTAAAGCAGTGAGACTTTCTCCCAAGCTCAGTAAGTAGGTGCTGAAGATAAACCATACCAGCAAAGTATCTCCCAGCGGGATCCACCTTCCCATCATTGAATCGATTGTTTTTCTTGTCTTTCTCTACTGTGGCCAGGACAGTGACTGACTGATCTTCCCAGTTCAAAGCACAGAACTTTGTTCCAATTGTGGCGACATAGCCTCCCGACTGGCGGAGGGCCACAGAGCTGACTGGGGCATCTGCAGAGGCAAAAGCAATAGTCAGGATGCTGCAAGCAGCACAGAGCCAAAGAGCAAGATGAGACTATCATGCCACCTGGCATTTCTAAGAGGATTGCAGTTCTTTTGACAACCAGAGTGCTCTCTTCCTTCTGTTGAATAGTGAAGGCTACAAAACTGAGTGTATTTGTTGACAATAAACTCCATGCACTGTTCCTGGACAGCAGGGACAGGAAGGTGAATGAAGTCCAACTCTATAGAAAGCTTCCAATCTAGTAGAGAAGTTAAAACACAGCAGCCACCACGTTTTGGGGCAGGCACCACATCAAGTTCAGAGGTGAGGTTCCTAATGGGAGTTGGGGGGTGCAGTAGCACCAGAGCAGTTGTCACAGAACAAGAGATGCTCAATTTGCCTGACCTCCAGGAAATTCAGAGACCAACTCTGTTTAGTTCTAGCAACGAGGTTTTATGACAGCCTTCTTGCTCTCCAATAGAGGACTTTCTTTTTTAAGAGATCCTATTTAATTAAAGATTAAATATTTAAAGTAAATATTTATTTAATGTAATTAATTAAATAAAGTTAATTTGATTAAAATATTTCATTGAAATGTAATTAAGTTTAACTAAAATTTTTGTAATTAAAATTGTTTCTCGAGACTTCCGCCAAGATGGAGGCATAGGTGGATGTGCCGTGCCTTCTCCCACAACCAAGATTAGAGAAAACTAAATATTAGCAACAGAAAACACAACCAGAACACGGAAAATTGAACTTTTCGGAAGTCCGTTAACAACAAATTCTTCAGCCTGACCGGTAAGGGGCGAAACCAGTGGCGGGCGGAGCAGGGTTGCACAGGAGGACTCGGCCAGACACACTCAGGCCCGCGGAATCCAGGCGCAGGGTCAGACCTAGTGAGTGACCCAGCGAGCAACCAGGCGAGCGACCTCGGGGGAGACAGCCGGGCCTGGGGCTGCGTGTTGACTGAGGTCGCGCATTTGTGCGAGGGTGGACAGGCGAGGGAGTGGGCGGTTGGACCCGGCCGGCAGGTCCCCAGGGCAAGCGGCAGTGGAGGGCGCCGCCATTTCCCTGCTCTGACCCCACCTCCACATATAGCGTCATAACCCAGCAACTCTGAGTGGCCCGGCCCAGGTGAACCACCTAAGGCACTGCTCCTCCGCACCCAGCTGTGAGAAGCGGCAGAGGGGGTCGCCATTTCCCCGCTCTGGCCACGCCCCCACATACAGCGTCACAACCCAGCGACCTGGGAATCCAAGCCGCGGCTTTTCACACTTAAAGGGCCCGAACAGACCAAGAATGGCGCAGGAGGATCTCAGAGCCCCAGAAATAAATCTAAGCAATGAAGAAATAGCAAAACTCACAGACGCACAGTTTAAAAAATTGGTGATCAGGATCCTCACAGAACTGGTTGATTATACGGACAAATTAGACAAATATATGAAGGCGAAACTAATTGAAATGAATGGAATTGCACAGGACACCAATAGCAATGAAAAGGAAACTGGGACTCAAATCAATGGAGTGGACCAGAAGAAAGCAAATAATGGCCAAACAGAAAAGAGTCAAGAAGCAAGAATTCAAAGAAATGAGGAGAGTCTTAGGAACCTCCAGGACATCTTTAAGCACTCCAATATCCGAATTATAGGGGTACCAGAAGGGGGAAAGACACAACCACCAGTGGAAAAATTATTTGAACAAATAATAAAAGAAAATTTCCCCAATCTGGCAAAGGAAATAGACTTCCAAGAAATCCAAGAAGCTCAGAGAGTACCAAAGAAGTTGGACTCAAGAAGAAACACACCAAGGCATATCATAATTACATTAGCCAAAATTAAAATGAAGGAGAGAATCCTAGAAGCAGCAAGAGCTAAGGGGACAATCACCTACAAAGGAGTCCCCATCAGACTGTCAGCAGATTTCTCAAAAGAGACCTTACAGGCAAGAAGGGGCTGGAAAGAAATATTCCAAGTCATGAAATCTAAAGACCTACAACCAAGATTGCTCTATCCAGCAAAACTTTCATTTAGAATGGAAGGACAGATAAGGTGCTTCTCAGATAAGATCAAATTCAAGGAGTTCATCATCACCAAGCCCTTATTATATGAAATGTTAAAGGGACTTATCTAAGAAAAAGAAGTTAAAGAAACATGAACAGTGAAAGGACAACAAACTCAGTTATTAACAACCACACCTAAAACGAAAGCAAACTAAAAGGACAGCTAGATCAGGAGTGGAAACATAGAAATGAAGATCTCAAGGAGGGTTAGCAACAGGGGAGTGGGAGGAGGAGAAGGGGGGAGAAGGTACAGAAAATAAGTAGCATAGACAGTAGATAGAAAATAGATGGGGGGGCAAGAATAGCATGGGAAATATAGAATCTAAAGGACTTGAGACACATGGTCATAAACTAAAGGGGGGGTGATGGTGGGGATGGGGGGTAGGGTAGAGGGGAATAAAGGGGGAATAGAACAACTGTAACAGCATAATCAATAAAAAATTAAAAAAAATTGTTTCTCAAATCTTTTTTAGAAGTAGGCAGAATAAAAATAATAAACAGAAATGTAGATGCAATGATAAAACAGTCACATGTCTTCATTACATTACTATATTTTGTAAATTTAGGTTTTCTGAGTTTAATATTTTTTCTGTGTATAAGGAAACATTTTTTTTTAAGTGGAGAGATTGATTACTATGGTGAGCAGTCACGGAAAACAAATCTTACTCAGTGCAAGGTGCTGGGTGCTCTTGTAGCAGCTCCCAGCTAAAAGCCCTGTTCAGAAGATTTTGAGCTATTGAGAATCCAAGGGAATGTACAGGACACTATTAGGCAAGTGACATTCTCACTAGGGATCCCAGCCTGTGGCTTGAGGCTTCTTTTTAAAAAATTTATTTACTTATTTTTAGAGAGAGGGGAAGGGAGGGAGAAAGAGAGGGAAAAAACCACCAATGTGTGGTTGCCTCTCGCACACCCCCAGCTGGGGACCTGACCCACAACCCACGCATGTGCCCTTACTGGAAATGAAACCAGTGACCCTTTGGTTCCCAGGTGGGTCCTCAATCCACTGAGCTACACTAGCCAAGGCATGAGGCTTCTGTTAGCTTTCTGAGTTACTGCTGCCACCACAAACCCTTTCTTTGCTTTAGGGAGGGGGCTGCAGATTAGGGTAAGAATATACTGATAATGTGTGCAGGCTGGGAAACAGACTGGGAAAGGCATGGGTCCATCTCCTCACTCTGATCTCAGCAGTCAGTAACTTTGTCTGGAGCCTTAGACATATTCCTGAGTGAATTTAAAAAAAAACAACAACTACTCCCTCTCATTAAAAAAAAAAAAGTTTGAGGTCCCCAGTTTTGGGTTGAGACAGTGTCCCTATGCTACATAAATGTCTGGTATCTCTTCATGGGTACACAATAATGAAAACAGGAAACTCCTTCCCCTATGGCTAATCAATCAAGCCCATCCTCTTGGGTCACAGAATGTCATACCCCCTTCTTCTGGAAATCGCAAAGCCATAAACAGAATCACACTCAAAGGCACTGGAAATTCTGTTGTGAATTCTACTTTACAGAGTGAATACATAGTCCTGGTTGATGTTTTATAAGTCCAAAAGCTCTTCTTTTGACCTTCAGTGAAGGGATATACCTGTTATTTTTTTTTTTAAATGAAGCCCTTGGTTTGACCCAAGGTAGATAGCAGTCTCCAGCTTTCAATGCTGTTATCTGTAGGTGTTAAGGAAAGATCCTGCAGTGCCTCATTATCAGAACAAAATGGGGAATGCTCCTCTTCACCCACAGAGGAAGAGGGAAATATTAATCCCCCAGAATTTACTCCTGGGCTAAAGTGGGAAGGCACAGACAGCAAGACAATCCAGAATTTTTAAAGCATATTCAGCATACTTTAAAAAGAAGGTCTCAGGGGAATGACACTCTAGATGGCTGCCCCTCCCAAGGGAAAAGATGGCTGGCTGGTTGGATCTGAGTCTGGCCTTCATTCTTACCCACGGTCACGTGATGAACTTGCTTGCTGAGCGAATCCCACCGGCAAACTTTTTTGGCAGGAATATCTACGAAGATCAGAGAGTTGGATGCTTCCTCCCACAATGGAGACTCACTACACCGGTAGTTCTCAGGCAGGACACACTCAATCTTAATGGAAGACATTGTCATGGGGGGATCTACTGAAGGTGACAGAGACAAAATGAAATGTAATCTCATGGGGCAAATTCAGCACATCTGTTTTGAGACTCTGGTAAGCTCTTAGTACAGACTGAGTTGTTTTTATTAGAACTGGAAAGGCCGGGCACATTTTCCCCAAATCAGAACAAAATATGCAATGTGGCAGGAAGAGATGTGTCTGAAAAAATAACAGAGTTAATAGATGACAGCATGAGACATCTTCAATCAACTTACCAGAGCTTTTTTTTTCAAGCTATCTGAGAGAGAGAGAGAGAGAGAGAGAGAGAGAGAGAAGGAGAAAGAACACTCCAACATCCACACCTTGGTGCTGGTGACCCTCAGAGAGCCAGCTGCTCAGAGCAGGAGGCAAGGCTGCTCTTTATGTCTGCACACACCCTAGCCCCTAAGGTGGTTGAGGGGGTGGGCAGCTCCCTCATTGATGGAGTCTTCAGGTCACTTTTCTTCTGCTGTCCTCCCCATCTGCTGATGTTGATTCACTTCATTGACTGCTAAAAGGCCAGAGCCTTCCCACTTTGCATCATTTCTGAGCTGCATTTTAAAATATATGTTTATCAGTGATAATACACCAAACTGGAATTAACATCCATTTTCAAGTTCAGACAATGGAAAGGGTGGAAAATAGGACATCAGCTGGGTACCCTTGTAGGAACTGACGGCCCCTCAGCTATTTGTTGCTGCCTAGGAAGGCACTGTGCCAGTTTGGCAAGAAGTCTTGTACTCCGAGGGCAAGAACATTCTATGCTGGGACTTTAGGCCGGAGACTTTGACCAACAAACAGGAAGATGAAAAAGAAAAATTATCAAAAGAGTAAAATCATTACATAAAAACCCATGTGGGAGAGGAAAAAACAGGCAACTCCAAGAGCCTTCTCTTTCCTAAACTGCCCTGGTGATTACGAAAATCTTCCAAGTGTTCATCCTTCTCCCTGGTATCTATTTGATTTGAAGTAAGTGGCCCCTCATATGGATACACAAATTAGTGAAGGCATGGGGAGGAAAATAATCTATGGCTTAATATTTACTTCAGTAAATAGCATTTTAAAATAAGAAACACACAGCTCTAATTGGCCTCAGATGCCAATTGCCAGCGTCATAGCATTTGCAATCTTCATTTACCATTAAAAATTGGCACAAACTCTAAAGATCTTCATGCTATAAAGCCCAAGATCAGATAGGGGTCTTTCACAATAGCAGCTTTTAACCCCACACTCTCACCCCTGGCTGTTGTGGCCCAGTGGGTTGAATATAGGCCTGCCACCCAAAAGGTCACTGGTTTGATTCCCAGTCAGGGTACATGCCTGGGTTGTGGGCCAGGTTTCCAGTAGGGGACATGGAGAAGCAACCACACATTGATGTTTCTCTCCCTCTCTTTTTCCTTTCCTTCCCCTTGGTCTAAAAATAAATAAATAATCTTTAAAAATAAATAACCTCACACTCACTCATGCTGCAAGTCCTGACAAATGTCCCCTTTCTGCCTGGGCTCTCTATCGCCCCTGGCTCAACCAAGGAGGGGGTTGTGACTGAAAATGGGTAGTGGGGTAGGGCAGGGGGTGGGGAGTGGGGACGCGGCTCCCGCTACATCTGGGTACCTGTTCAGGGCGAGGGGCCACTGCGTACGCTTTCTGGTAGCTCTGCTACGGCCTCAGGTGACAGCGAAGCCCCGGGAGGCTGAAGGCGGTCTGAGGGCAGTCGGTGAACTTCCAGCTGCTGTGATCAGAAAACCAGACTGAGCAGGTTTAGCTTGGGTGTCACCTGACCTGTCTTCTCCAATGAGGGGGCAGGGAGTCCGGGCTGGTGACTTCTAGGTGTCTCAAAGGTCTGGCTGTGGATCTGGGCTTGGGAAGGGACACTGCGACTGGGAGGAGGTGTTTGGCGGGGCGGGGAGGGAGGGAAAGGGGTGGGAACTGTAAGCCCCAATGCTGTCCTCCAGGGCAGGAAAATGGGGCGGAGTGAACCTAAGCTTTGGAGTTTGGACGGCTAGCTGAAGTTTCTCTCTGGCAGGAAAAAATTCTTAAAATGCCTAACAGAGAGATTGGGTGGAGGGTCAGATCAAACCAACAGGTCAATCAGTAAGGAAAAAACAAAGCAGTTAAACAAATCCTCTCTTTGTCGTGGGGAAGACTCTGATGGCTGGCGGAGAAGAGGAAAGACTTGATTTGATTTGATTTAAAAATCAGGCAGAATGCCCCTGGCTGGTGTGCTTCAGTGGGTTGAGTGCCCACCTGCGAACTGAAAGGTCACCATTTGGATTCACAGTCAGGGCAAACGCCTGGGTTGCGGGCCAGGTCCCCAGTTAGGGGCATGTGAGAGGCAACCTATCGATGTTTCTCCCCCTCCCTTCCCCTCTCTCCAGAAATAAATACATAAAATCTTTAAACAAATAAAAGTTATGCAGAATAAACTATCCTAAATGGCCCTCAGTTTCCCATTCTCCATGGAGAGTCTCAATGTAGTCCTGGTCCTGCCACTTCACCATCCACACTTTCTCTAAATAACCCACAAGTTGAAAACACATTTTAAAAAGTAAGAGAAGGATGTAAACAGAATGGTAATTGCCCTTGGGGAATGGGAGCCAGGGATTAACTGTGAAGGGGAGTTTAGGGAATTTTCTGGGATGATGGAGCTGTTCTGTATCCTTGATGGAGCTTTGAGTTGCATAGGTGTATGTCCTCTCAAACGTCATCTAATAGTACACTTGAGATTTTTGCATTTTATTGAATGTTTTGAATCCAAGGTCAGTATTCCTATTTATATTTGTCAATCTAGTGTTCTATTCCTTGCCATCTGCACTAACCTGAAACCTCTTAGTGCACTCAAATCACAATCAGTCATTATAATTCCCTTTAATTCACCAAGGAGGAAGGGCCAGAAACCAACATCCAAAGGCACAAGCCTATAGGCAGGCAGGTGATGGTTGGAGCAATCTTAGCTCAAAGTTTAGGTTAGTAATTTAGATTAACTGGCACGTACAGCCTCAAGTATTTCCTCTTCACCTTGGGAGGTACTTAAGACAACCACTCTCCATGTCTCCATTTACAGGTGGGGAAACACAAGTCTACAAAGTGAAGAGACTTCCAAAGCCACATATTCAGCTGGGGAAAATCTGGTCAATAGCCCAAACCATTAGTGGAAAGATAAGAACTTGAAGGACATTTTCTTGGGTGGGACAAAGAGTGGGACTGTGATCTCCAAGTGTCAGAAACAGATTTTGGACCATCTTTTATTTATTTATTTATTTTTATTTTTATTTCTTCAAGATTTTATTTATTTATCTTTAGAGTGGAAGGGAAGGAGAGAGGGAGAGAAACATCAATGTATGGTTGCCTCTTGAGTACCCCTGCTGGGAACTGGCCCACACCCCAGGCATGTGCCCTGACTGGGAATTGAACCACGATCGTCTGGTTCTCAGGCCCACACTCAATCCACTGAGCTACACCAGCCAGGGCATTGGACCATCTTTTTCACCATCGTGGAAACTGCTGCTCACGGATGAAGCGTCAACTGTCTTTCCTGGGAGTTACAAAATTCATCTGTGCTTGCCTCTTCTTCTCGGGAAAACAGGTTTCACAGAAGAGGTGGTAGTTTTAAATATCTGAAAGTCTCGAACAATTACTTCAAATATACTGGAAAAGCTAGTGTGTTGCAGGTGGATGAAAGTCTGATGTCCACATAAGAAATGGTATCCTACCTGGCTGGTATAGCTCAGTGGATTGAGCGCAGGTCTGCAAGCCAGAGGATCGCAGTTCGATTCCCAGTCAGGGCACATGCCTGGGTTGCAGGTCAGTTCCCTGCAGGCCAATTCCCAGCAGGGAATGCACTAGAGGCAACCATACATTGATGTTTCTCTCCTTCTCTCCTTCCCCTCTAAAGATAAATAAAATCTTTAAAAAACTTGAAAAAAAAAAGAAATGGTATCCTAATGGGGCACAGACTCTACTAGATGTATAAATATTATTTTGTATGAGCTAATTATATGCCCCTTGAAATGGGCAGATATCATGAGTGTTCAACAGTTCTCAAGAGGAGTGTCCCTGGAGAGAACAAACAGGCATTACAGACAGGCATAACCCTAATATTAGCTTTCATTCTATATGGACTAGGCTTTTAAAAAATATTTTATTTATTTATTTTTAGACAGGGAAAGGAGTGACAAAGAGAGGGAGAGAAACATCATGTGAGAGAGATACATCAATCAGTTGCCTCTTGCATGCCCCCAAATGGAGACCTAGCCTGCAATCCAGGCAAGTGCCTTGAGCAGGAATTGAACCAGAAGCCTTTCAGTTTGTAGGCTGGCACTCAGTCCACTGAGCCACATCAGCCTGGGCTATGGATTAAGTTTTGGTGATAGGATTGCAATGACCTCAGTAAAAGCATTTTTTGATGTGAGGTCAATTTCAAAATGACCAAAGTTTGGAATTAATAATGTGAGGAAAACAAGAACCAGAAGTGGCCTATAAAAGAAACTGTACCTTGTAGAGCAGCGATTTTCAACTGGTGTGCTGCAAGAATTTTTAAAACATGCAATACCTGACTAGTCAGGGGCATTGAGTTCTTTTCCCTTAGATTGTCAGGTTAAAAAAATGACAACAGCCAACGCAACAATAGATGTACAGTGTGAATGGATAAAAAAATTATTCCTATTTTTTTGTCAGACCAGCAAAAATATATATTAGGTCTGCCTCAGAATTGTAGTAGTTAGTTTATGTGTGCCATGAGAGGAAAGGGTTGGAAATTGCTGTTCTAGAGTGTTTAAAGGAAAATTTATTAATTTTATCATCAGTTAAATTCAGAGCAGTAGCTATAATCTCAGAAATATAAGATTTTTTTCTCTTAAGTGAGACAAGATCATAGAGGGTCAAAAGTCACAGGATATATTGAAAAACCTTTTAGTTGTTTATTGGAGAGTATAAAATACAATAATAGGCAAGATGAGTGGTAGAAAAAGAAAAAGGCTGCTGAAGAATCAGAAAATTAACTTTGGGCAGAAGATGTCTACTTCTGTAGTCAGCAGTTTTGGGAGGGTTCCTAAGAATCCTGCTTAGTGTCTTAATGGAATGGCTGTCCAGGAGTCAGGATAAAGTGATGTATATCTTTTCAGTTGGGAAACATGAAGTTAAGTATCAGTACCTTGGAGTTTTATTGCTATGTCAGTTGCTAATAGTACCTAATGTCTTTTCCATGGAGGCTCAAGGTTTTTTGGTTTTTTTTTTCTGATGCATTTTCAGAAAACTGAACCTTCAGATTTGAGATCATACAGAAGCAGCTTAGGTCAGTGTTTTAAAGATGCAGCTTGTACCTGTTGGTGATAAAGCTGGAGGTATTGTACGAATCCCTGTGGTAGTTAGTCATATTAGCTTGTAATAGGGGTACAGTCTAGGGTTGGAGGTACTTTCCAAATGTGTCAGGTAAGTCATTTTTAACTCAGAAAGAGATAACTTATGGATCCTAGAGAGTCCAGATCTTGTTGCCATCAAGGAAAATACTTTAGGCCATGGACGTTGAAGGAGATTCTGAGAACATGGATAATTTGTTTTTAGAATGCCATTAGTTTTCTCCACTTTCCTGAATTTATGGAAAATAAGAACAGTGCCATTCTAAGAAATAAAGATAAAAAATTATGTTCAGTGACAATGTTTTGTATATTCTCTCTTACTTAGAAACTGTCCAGGCATTTTCACAGATTATTTATTAATTAACTCAATGATTTATAGAAGGTCCTAAAGTTACTCTAGTTATTAGAAAAGAAGAAAAGAGCTTAATTCCAAGATAAAGAGGTTTTGATATGAGTCTTTAAAAATTAATTTACCATTGGGACTTGGAAATTTCAATTTTAGTTAACATGTTAAGTCCTTGTGATCTGTAGTAATTTTAGAATTTCATAAAATAAGCTCTTTAAAAAAGAAATCTGTTGTCATTCTATTTGTTCATACATGTTCACATATATGTTCATACACACACATGAAGTTATGGAAACAATGGTGACTTACTTAACTCATAAAAGCAGTATGGGAAATTCAGACAGTTTAAATAATTTAAGCTTGGTTTTATACAAATCAAAATATTGTGCTGGCATTATTTTTAAATGGTAAACTAATTCTTAAAGACTCTAAGTCATATTAAAAGATTTTACTTGGAATTAAGCTCTTCTTTTCTCATAACTAGAATAGCAAAAGCTATTATGTAAATACACTTTTCAATGTCCACAAAAAGGAACATCATTTAATAACATTTATTTTCCTCTTTAACGCACCTTTGACAGTTTATCTGAACTAGATATTCCTATGTACCCATAACAATTGAATGTTTTTGTGATCAGTTAATCTTTAAAGTTTGGCAAGGGGGTAAAAAGAGGGAAACAAAACAATGAATAGAAAGCCAGCTTCCGACAAATATGAAATTATCATTGTAAAAGGCGAATGATGTTTCTTTTTGAAGGACAGGGGAAAATGTATATAGAAAACCCATTTTGACAAACATGAGAAAGATAGACATAGATAGATGAAAGATAGATATTGAGATTACAGCTGGTTTAGACAACAATTGGGGCCACTGACAATTTTACCAACCTAAATAATTTTAAAGCTACCATTCATTAATCCTTGAAATGTAGAAACAAAGCTAACATAGTCTCCTATGTTTAAAAAAAAGGATTTCTATTTTAGACAAAAACAACATCCTCATGCATATTTCTTCCCTGCTCGTTCTAATGGACCTCTTAAATTAACAATCTTGTTCATGTCAAAAATTCCCCAATGTGGTCATGATAATTTCAAATTGACCCTAGAGAAATTATGCCAGGTAGAGAATATGAGAGCAGGA